GTGAAACAATCGCACAGTACCTGATGGTAAGTGGAAACTGTGCCCCATAAGACACATTTATTCTTGATTAAGAATCAAAAAGCAAATGCGTGGACACATCTGAGGACTAAGATGGTATAACTCGTTTTCAGTAAAAAGAGTCTCCGGTTGTCTACACTCACTATTCGAAACACAGCAGAAATAAGCTATTTCTCGCTGGTATCCTACAAAATCGTGGTCACTCCCCGGTCGAGCCGATCCATTCGTGCTACAACTATAATAAAGCTGTAGCATGACTCCACATGAAGAAAGCAATTTGGTCAGTAGCCACGTCTTCGACCACTAGACCAAAGATTCTGTCAAAAAAGAATATAAGATATAAGATATATATAATTATGTGTGAATATAATACAATTTTATAATCTAGTTTTCGCCTCATTTACGTCTGAATTATTGCAAATATATTAAGAACCGATGATAATTTCATGAAAATTATCTAGTATTGCATGAATCTAACTTTTACGGATTTTATCGCGTTTAATTAACCTATTTTAGAATCTAGACATTCCCAATGTTTCGATGTCATAGTAAGTAACGGCTACATTTGAACACCTCAGACCCCACCCCCCGACCACGGGTGCTGTAAAGTACTTGAAACGTCGGTATTATAAAATGAATAATTTAAATGCGATAAAATCCGTAAAAAATTGTACAACCGACTTCAATATAAATAAAATAACATCGTCAATTTCGTCGAATTCAATTAAATACGCATTATTAAAGATAACTTGAAAACTATGCAGTGAAAATATAATAAAATATTGAAATGAAAATGGAGGACAATATACAGATAAGCCACTTGAGTTATTATATATATTACTGGATGGTAGGTAATTTATGTATATGTTTCGACTGCCTCGTTGGTCTAGTGGTTGTAGTAGTCGACTGCTGATCATGAGGTCCTGGGTTTGAATCCCGGGTTGGGCCAAAAATTTATTATTGAGTTTTTCCGTCAACAAATTCTCAGTAGTTGCCCGGAGTCAGGAAGTTGGAACCGCATGAAAAGCACCAGCTTTATATTAATAAAAAAAGAATCATCAATATCGGTTCACCCAGAAAAAAGTTGTGAGGTGAAAAAAAACATAAAAAAATAAATACAGTCGAATTGAGTACCTCTTCCTTTTTAAAATCTGTTAAAAACTAGTTTCATTCAATGTGTAAGTAGAGTTCGCGTAAATATAAGATCATTATACTCTTGTATTCTCATTAGTCAATTAATAACTATTATATTTTTGTTACGAGAATGTACGTTTCTACACCTCTATGATGTAATATTTGTATGAATGACGTAAGTACGCGTACGCATAAGCGTTATAGAAAGTTATAATTAAGTTTTTACCTAATTGTGGACGTCTGAATTATCCGACTTTTTGCACATATACTAAGAACCGAACACAATGCAATAATATCATGACTTAAACTTAGTATTACTGTGAGACAGGATAATATTTTTTATTATATTAATTTTATACGTGGTGGAGTCACGTTATCACGCATTATGGTATGGCAGTTATGGTCGTAGCACGAATGGCGTGGCTCGACCGGGGAAGGACCACGCTCTCACAGTATACCAGCGTAATACTCTTATAGCGAGTGTAGAGATCCGGAGACCCTTTTTTTACTGGGAACGAGGCATTCCATCTTAGTCTTCAGGGGTGACAACGCATCTGCGTTTTGATTCTTAATCGAGGGTAAATATAGAAGTCCACGGGCCACAGCATTCACTTATCATCAGGTCGACTGTGTGCTCGTTTGTCATCCCTATTCTATAAAAAATAATGTCCAAGTGTCCAAAAATAGTTGTACTCTATCTTCCGTCACACTCACAGTCTGATGGGATGGCAATCGACACAACCGAAGAGAGATCAGGCGCGAGAGCAATAACTTTACGTGCGTTCCGAGGCACGGGGGTGAACAACTTCATAGTTCCTGACTCCAAGCTTCTACTGAGATATCCTCGACAGTAAATCCAATATCTGATTTTTTTGCCCGACCCTGGACCCTGGAGGCAGTCACGGCTGGTGATTATGTACTTAGTCAAAAGCTGAAGATATTATAAAAACGAAAGTGTAGTCAGTTGGTCAAACACAAGCGAACGGGTGTCATAGGTCATTTGTAGTAAAACGTTTAGCTGGAGCTGTCTGTCGGATGTAACTCAGGCGCCAGAGTGAACGGGTCGGGATCACAACCCTTGACACGTCTGACAGCCGTCATAATAACACCGACATTGCGTAGGTTAAAATAATTGAACGTGAACCGGCCGTAGCCAGTAACCTAATTACAGGTTATATTTTACTCGTTACAACTTCTGTTTGAAATTTTCAATTAATGTCAAAAATAGGATATCTAATGAGTTTCCTTTTTTTCTAGAATAATGGTGACAAACGAGCCACAGTTCTTCCGATGGTAAGTGGATGCCGTGGTACATAGATATTTACTTTAACCTCGATTAAGAATCAAATCGCAAATGCGCTGTCACCCCTAAGGACTAAGATGGAATGCCTCGTTTCCAGTGAAAAAGAGTCTCCGGATCTCTACACTCACCATACGAAATACAGCAGTATTAAGGTGCTATTTTACGCAGGTATCCTGTAAGAGCGTGGTCTCCGGTCAAACCGACCCATTCGTGCTACAAACATAATAAAGCTGCACCGTGGCTGTACCACGTATTTTATGGAATAAGGGTGACAAACTAGCAAACAGTTCACCTGGTGGTAAGTGGAATCTGTGGCCCTTAGACATGTACTACTCTATTCTAGATTAAGAATAAACATGCAGATGCGTTGTCACTTTTGTGGACGAAGACGATATGCCTCGTTTCCAGTACATAGATTCTCACGTTCTACACACTCACCATACGAAACACAGCGGTATCAATCTGCGATTACACGCTGGTTGGTATTCTGTGAGAGCGCGATCCTTCCCCGTTCGAGCCAACCCATTAGTACTACTCCCATAACTAGCTGCAGCGTGACTCTGCCACGAAAGCGTGTCGTGCTATCGACTGTGGCGTGTTTTCCCTAGTGTAGTGGTGTTGGGCTTACTGGTAGCAGTGATAATGCATATAATCGCGGGAGGGGATAAGGTGCTCTACTGTGCTCTACGAACTAGTTATGACTTAAGACACCCTATTTTTTCAGAATAAAATACCATCATTATTGATTCTTCATATTGTAGCGAAAAATAAATATAACAATTTGTAATAATCATAGGCATAGACGTTATCTTTTCTATGTATATATTAGGCCTGTTTCTTATTTAGTTATTTATTATTTTATTACTTGAGACATCTATCCTTATAGATCGAACCCAATGCGATAGAGTCCTCTGTTTTATTATAAACTAAATCTTAGATTAACAATATTAAAATGAATGTAGCTCAACAAACTAAAAGGAAAAAACAGATTAATAAAATTAAATAAAAAATACAAAAATTAAACAGTAAAAAAATATACAAAATCCGTTAAAAATACAGAGAAAAAATTTACATAATTTTGTGAGCAAAATAAAATTAATCTAACAGTAACATATAATTTATACAATATGATCTTTGCTAATTCACTATAGTGGAAACTAAATACGTCGGTTAACGACGTGAAGAGTTCGAGTTAGAGGGGTTTTTTGCCAGGAGATAAGTTCATGATATGCTGGTACTTCTGTTGATGATTCACCAACAGTCATCTCATTAAAATATCACGTTACATCAAAAGTTATCTAAACAGATTAACGTTTACTTCAACAACATCATTCATAAAATATATTTTCTATGTTAATTTTTTTCATGGTTTGACTACATTTGTTCTAAATTATTTTTTTTTGTTTTTATTATTTATAACCTACCAACTTTAATTTCTCTATTTCTACAGGGTTGATTGGTAAAGAATGCTATAAGGGATTAAGTCCGCCTACCCTTAGTTATCTTGTCCTTAAGATGTCTTACAATGAAGGTTAAATAATTTAAAAAAAATCTTAAAAATGGTTGACCCTGCAGGCCATCCCTCGAATTTCCCGCTATGTTCGATCTCAAGATGCTCGACAAATATTTTTATAAACTAATAGTTAACTGGCTCTTCACGTGGTAGAGTGGCAGCTATATTATGGTTGCAGCACGGATGGATCAGCTCGAGTAGGGAAGGACCACGCTCTCAGAGAATACCAACGTCAAATAGCAGCTCAATGCTGATGTGTTTGGTATGATGAGTGTAGAGAACCGGAGATCCTTTTTACTGGAAACGAGGCATTCCATCTTAGTCCTCAGGGGTGGCAATGCATCTACGTTTTGATTCTTAATCGAGGATACATGTACATAGATGTCTGTGGACCACAGCATCCACTTACAAAAATGATTAAACAATGAACGAATTATGATTAATTTGATTATACTGGTTGATTTTGGACCGTCTGGAAAAAATATAGTGGAAAAAAATGGTATAACAGGTAAACGGAATAGAAGCCTATGGCACTGATATTCTACTTTTTTTACATTAACATAATATATATTATGAAATTGATCTATCAATAAACACTACTAATTGGGTGCGTATTATTTTAATTTCGGTAGTTTTTAATTGATTTATTTATTTAGTTCAAAATTTATGTGAAAATTTATTTCAAAATAGTGGTATTTATTCATAGTTCAATTTTATAATATGTTAATGTAAAAGCAAAATAAATGTAAAATACTAGATTATAATTCTATTCCGTTCACCTGTAACACTCTTTTTTTCAGGCGGCAAAAAAATCAAATTTAAAATAATTCAATTAATCGCATCTCATTAATTTATACGGAGCTGGGAAATTAAAAAAATGCTAAGTCGGTCAACTAACCTCGATAACATGTTTTTAGGGTTGTTCCGTAAGTATTCTTCCTACGACTTAATTTCTTCTAAACTATATTCTGAATTTAACTGATATTTTTTTTTAATTTAATTTTCTCAACTTAACCGAAATCTGTTTCTTATTCACGCTAAAGTAAAAATAAACAAAAAAAAGGTATGGATAAGATAATAATGTTATACAATCTAAATAACGAGTCCGCATTTTTAGAGACAGGTTAAAATGGTACACAATTTCATAAGTTAATATTTTATTAAGGTACTCACCCGAAGGTTTAGGCACGTTCCTCTTGACCTGCATCCATTTATATGTGGGCACAGTGTGTGAGGAGTGAGGCTGATGCGTCATCAGACCGTGCTGCATCTCACCCTCCCGCGGGAAGCTCTCCCGCAGGCTGCCAAACTCGTCTTTAGGCTGATAGGGATCAAACTCCCCGCACGGCAACGGTGAAGTGGCATGGCTGAATTGCATCGATTCATCTACGAAGTGCATGTTGTACTTCGTCTCCAGATAATGGTTGTCCAGCTTGTGATCATGCATATGCAGATCTTCGTGCCTGGGCAAATCATCTCTATGCTTGAAAGGCTCCGGATGAGGAGGTAAGGAGTGAACCGGGTAACTCTGTTGCAAGTCCCCATAGTCCAAATTCGTGTAGCACAGGCCTGCGTCTGTGTTGATTACAGGCGCTGGATGCTCTAAGGGCTGGCTGGGCAGCGTTGGGTCGTAATAGTGAGGTGCCGGCTCGTAGTACCCGTCATGGTAGTTCTCGTAAGCCTGGTACGGCTGTTGGTAGTACTCGCCGCTGTACCCGTTCTGCTGATTATTGTACATACCGACGTCCATAGTCATCATGTTTGGCACGGTCTAATGTCAACTACACACACATCACTAGCGAGGTTCCGGTTTAATAGCGTGTTACCGGCGAGTGCCGTCCGCTCGCGCGTCACGCCGGCGAACACTGAGCGCGATCGCGCGGGACACCGGATTTTTTCCTAATCGCGCCTAAATTTCAATATCGCCATCTCTGTCTCGTACGTGTCAGTCACGTAAAGCGATAGAGACGGAGCTACTTTAGTGATGCGACGTGATAAGCGGATAAGAAGCGTGATTTAAAAGAGCCCGTTTTGTTAATATGTAGGTTTATCTTTATTTTAAAATTCTCTCGACGGTAGTGACGCGACCGTGATTGTGCTAAGTGGCTAAGACGAAGCGGGTAAAGCGGCTGATACTTGTAATCGGGCGGAGCTTCAAGGAGGGGCCAGTGGTAAGCGCCCGTCCAATGGCAGGTCGGGTACGACACTCGTTCGCTGGTTGGTCGATTCGAGATAATAGTTGCGAATCTCGGAGGCTGGATGCGGTCACCGATTTTTTTTATTTACTTTGCCCGTTTGTATACTGCGCAGTCCGCACTAGGAATGTGTCAATTTACCCCACAACTTCAAATCGATTTCATGGTGCGAATAACTTTTTTTGTATGCAGCTGTCTTTATATACGGCTTCGGTCGCTTTGTGTTATTCCCAAATAATGTATTTTTCGACATCTTTCGTCTCCTGCTTCAAAATTTCTTTATTTCTACGAAACCTACTATTCGAACCAGTGTGACGATGTATCCTTATTTTTGTCATTCGCGTGGAAAAAAAAAGTAATATAATATTTTTAAAATATTTATTATTTTGGCTAATATTAAATACAACTTCACGATCACCATCTCCACAGCCTATACCGAATATAGGTAGGCTTCCCCCTTAAATTACCTCATATGCGAGGATATTTACTAGAGTCCTCACGCTTGGCGAGTTTTGAACCGCCATTTTTAATTATTTTTAGTTGTTATAAGTATTCCGCTGCTGCCTCCTCCTTCCCTCCTCCATCTGTCGCCTCTTACGACACCAACAGTGTGGTATGTGTGTGTGGTATATGTTGGTAGATGGTAGTGAACATCGATATATATGTAGGTATATACGCAGTAGTATGATAAGTCTATGGGTAGTGAATCACATTATACCGCCACTACACGGTGAAGCCGCTATTAAATATAGGTATATTAAGTTAACAGAAAAAACAATGAGGACAAAAATATTTTATGTAGGTATCTACTTGGATACGTAAAATTTCTTTTGAAAATATTCCGCTATTTTAACGATTCAAAGACAGTTCACGCTCTCACAGAGTACCAGCGTAAAATAGCAACTTAATGCTGCTGTGTTTCGTATGGTGAGCATAGAGAACCGGAGACCTTTTTTACTGGAAACGAGGGATTCCATCTCAGTCCTCAGGGCTGGCAATGCATCCGCATTTTGATTCTTAATTGAAGATAAATGTAGATCTCTATGGGCCACAGCATCTACTTGCCAACAGGTGGACTGTGTGCTCGTTTGTCACCCTTATTCTATAAAAAGAAAACAGTACACTTACTAAAAACACAGCATTATTAAGCTGCTATTTTACGGTGGTATTCAACTGGTATGCACTTACTTGCCAGAACGTCTTACCACCGCAGTTGCAAGTTAAAGATAAAGACTTGTTTTAAAGGTGGTAGGTACAACAATTTTATAACGAAATGTAACACAGCCTATACTAGTACGGCCGTTTACGCTAACTATTTTGAAATGTAATTATTTAATTGTAATTTAAAATAGATATACCTAACTACATAAGTGTAATCTGTCAAATTGAGAGACAAATAAAATTATTATTATATTAGGTATATATTATATATCTTAAAAGACATAGAGTCATGTCAGTCATCTCTGAGTGACCGACATAGCCCAACGGATTAGTAAGCTGAAGTGGCAATGGGCCGGCCATAGGTATAGTTCGAAGAACCGATAACCGATGGGGAAAAAAGGTTCTTGAGTGGCAGCCTCGTACCGGTAGGCGTAGTGTAGGGCGACCCCCCACTAGATGGAGTGACGACCTGGTAAGATATGCAGGAAGTCGATGGATGCAGGTGGCTCAGGACCGTGCTTTGTGGCATTACTTGGGGGAGGCCTATGTTCAGCAGTGGACTTGTGAAGGGCTGTAATGATGATGATGATGATGATGATGTCTTAAAACATTTAGATTTAGATATACATTTAGATTTAGAAATACATTTAGATTCAATATTCAATTACCGATGTAAACAACTTAAGTGTTAATGAAAATGAATGGCTTTAAGAAAACGTAAGATAGTTATGCATTTATAAATCTCTCTATTTATGCGAAATGTATCAACATATAGGTACGGTTGAAAATAAACGCATTTGATATACAAACATGATTAATGCAGTCATTTAAAAACACGACCGTGCAAAAATCTTTCCTCTCCCTTTTTTGTATTTCAGAAGCAATATAAATATTATAAAGCTGGTCACTCAAATACCTACCTACTTAAAGCGAATCTAACGATACCTCAGCGTGACAGAGAAATATACATACCTACATAGGTACATACATTTGAAACCTACATTTGAATATAATATTTTAATAACAAATAACTAAAGAGCAACTACTAGTAATAACCTCTATTACTAGTAGTTGCTCTTTAGTTATACGTAATGTGACCATTTATTTTTTGACTCCAAACGGGACATTGGTTTATTTAGGTCAATTAACAGGTAGTCAATAAAAAAAAAACACTTTTTTAAAGTTATTTATCCAAAAAAATGCAGTTAGCTTAAAAAAAAATTCTCACAGGAACAAATTTGCTTTAATATAGCTGGTGGTGATATTAAGTAAGAATGAACCTCTTTGTACCTTTTTTTATAATACTCACCTAAATTATCAATATCGCCATTAGAACTGAAATTTGTAGTTCGTCAAAAACTTATGCATCTTCATTACAGTCAATATATTCCTTTACAATTAATACATCCTGAGATTTTTGAACGTCTTCCCATGCGGGAAACTTTTTTTAAATCTGCCCAACAAAATATCTCCATTTCTTTGGTAAGAAAGCAAGTCCACTGCTCCAGATATTCACGGCTTGTTTCATAAAATTCTGTAGCCGCCCTTTTCACCAATTTTTCATCTATGTCAGTAACATTATCTTTCGATTTCTCTTTTAATTGACGGACATTAAATGGAAGAAACTGATTGGTCTGTTTCTGAGCCAATTGTCTTTGAGTTGATTGATTTTTTTGCAGCTTCAATAGCCGATACAGTCTGAACTTCGAGTTTCAATACAGCTTGATGAAAACTTGCTGACTTGGCGTGTAAAAAATAAAGCCATAATTCGGATGCGGGATCTTCAAAAAAGTTTTTTAGTAACAACAACACAAATTTTCGCGCGGTTTCAAAAAACGGGACAATTTTGCGTCTCAGAGTTCATTTCGGGGACACCGGGACTCGTAACTATAAAAAGGGACAGTCCCGTTCAAAACGGGACGTCTGGTCACGTTAGTTATACGCTACCTACACTGCAACCTATGATTGCTCATGAGGAAGTTCGAAGGATGCGATTCATGGGAATATTGTTGTTACTAATCCAGGCAGCTCAAGTTGGATACTTTGTATGGTATTAATTGGCTCAACCATCTCATAGCTGGCCAGCTACGTTCAGCAGACTTAAATGTCTTTCGAATACTCAGATTCCGATATAAAGTTGAATCTAATGGAGGACACACACGGTCAGTTCAACTAATCATTCCAACTGTTCAGTTCAAATTAAAACTGTTGATTTTTTTAAATAGTGGATTTTCGATATATCGATAAATAAACTTATATACCAAACTCCGATAGTGATATATTTATAATGAGCGATAAATCAAAAATCCACTATTTTAAAAAATATCGGTTGGAATGATCAGTTGAACTGACCGTGTGTGGCGACCATAACTCTGTTTTTGTTAGTGTAGTGTGCTCGTTCTACTCTATTTCCTTTGCAGCTCGATAACGCTCTTGCTCTAGCATCGGGCGGTCCTGAAAAACAATACCCTCCTTCAGGAGCAGTCGGTTGAAAACAAATAAGCTTATAGAAGTTGGGATAGAAAAGTTCACAAATTAATATTTTTATTAGAATAAGACCCAATGGTAAATGAATGCTGTGGCCCATAAACAGACACGTCTATTCACGATTAAGAATCAAAAAGCAGGTGTGTTGTCACCCCTGAGAACTAAGATGGAATGCCTCGTTTCCAATAAAAAGGGTCTCAACGTTCTCCACATTAGTAGTATATTTGTAGCACGATTTGTATAGTTGTAGTTGAGTTGTATAGTTGTAGTCGACTCGACTGGGGCACGGAATACCAGCGTGAAATAGTAGCTTAATACTGCTGCGTTTCGTATGGTGAGTGTAGAGATGCGAAGGCCTTTTTTACTAGAAACAAGGCATTCCATCATAATCCTCACGGGTGACAACGTATCTGAATTTTGATTCGTAATCGAGGATATTAGATGTCGATGGGCCACAGCAACCACCTACCATCAGGTGGACTGTGTGCTAGTTTGTCAGCCAATCCTATAAAAAATTACGCTGATGTTCTGTGAGAGCGTGATCCTGCCCGGTCGAGCCGACTCATTCGTGCTACTACAAAATGTACTAAATACACAACATTAGAATTCAAAAACGTGCCTATATAATTTTCTCAAAAGCTCGTAAAACTATTAATTAGTGTACCTACTCGACTCCATGAAGCCATTAATAAATTTATGGGACAATGTATACACTTTGAATACAATATCCCAAAACAAAAAATACGTTTTGACTGTCGCTAAGGTCGAACAAGTGGTAAAATTAAAAATTTTGTACAACCAACTAAAATATAAAAAAATGAGTAGATCGTCAATTAAATACGCATAATACGTTTTTAATGACCTACGAAGTCAATTAAAAACACAAAATACGTTACTAAGGATAACTAAAAAC